TGGGGTGGGGGGGGCAGGAGGGAGTGAGTGAAAGGTCCCCTCTCAGTCAGACCGTTTTTTCCTGGTTCATTGGGAACTTGAACTCAGATCTCCCAGTTTCCAGCAGCCAAAGGCTTTAACTAGAACTGTTAGATAGCTCAGTGGTTTAGGTCTCTGGTTATGAAACCAGGGGCTGGGAATTTGATTCCCCCTTGATGCCTGCTTGACAGGAGCCGGACTCGATGAATCATAGGGTCACTTCCAGTTTTGCAGTTCTAAGGCGCTGGTTGCAGTAGTCGTAGTTACCATTATTGCCCCTTTCCAGGGAGAGGCTCCTACATGTTCCTCCAGCTTGTGGGCCAATTCTTGTCGTTTTATGTGGGGATGGGTCTCTTGTGACTGACAGGCAGAAGGTACCCCTTTTTTCCTTCTTTCCTGGTGGAATCATTCTAGCATTTCTGCCCCACCCTTGAAGGTTCCAGACTGGCCCTACGCTTTGAAAGGCTGTTGTTCTGGAGACATATTTAGGGTAAAGGTTCATTGGTCTCTTGTCTTGCAGCTCCTTTGCTCCTCCGACAAGCTTTGGTTTTACATGGTTTGTAACTGATCTCTTGTATTGTGTGCATCACAGTTAGAATGAAGAGTGCTTGAAAATAAGTGCCGATCAAGGACCTTCACTCTGTTGAGTACATTCTACTTACTTCCCTTCATTGATGCCTTTTCCCCCCCCCAACCCCTCCATTTTCAGAAGGTGTACCTCAGCAGTCTGCATTTTAAGTGCGTAGAAATCTTTATCGCAGAACCTGCAACACTGAGGTGTGAAGGCAATCCATGTGTTTCATTTTTTTTTTGTTATATTTGGCAACCTCACATTCTGGGCATTGTGGCCACAACAAAGGCAACTATAGATGACTCTTGGCAAGTTGGAAATTAACCATGCTATGCAAAACAGTGTTGAACAGAGCTCTGCCATATTTTTTCTACATCTGGATAGTAATCCAGGGAAGAGCTGGGCTGCGGGTGTGGCCCTTCCCTGCCTCTGGACTGCATGGGAAAGGCACCTGAAGTGCCTGTTTGGGAGCAAAGGCATGCGCCTCTTTGGCCGTGCCTCTGGACTGCATGGGAAAGGCGCCTGAAGTGCCTGTTTGGGAGCAAAGGCATGCGCCTCTTTGGCCGTGCCTCTGGACTGCATGGGAAAGGCGCCTGAAGTGCCTGTTTGGGAGCAAAGGCATGCGCCTCTTTGGCCGTGCCTCTGGACTGCATGGGAAAGGCGCCTGAAGTGCCTGTTTGGGAGCAAAGGCATGCGCCTCTTTGGCCGTGCCTCTGGACTGCATGGGAAAGGCGCCTGAAGTGCCTGTTTGGGAGCAAAGGCATGCGCCTCTTTGGCCGTGCCTCTGGACTGCATGGGAAAGGCGCCTGAAGTGCCTGTTTGGGAGCAAAGGCATGCGCCTCTTTGGCCGTGCCTCTGGACTGCATGGGAAAGGCGCCTGAAGTGCCTGTTTGGGAGCAAAGGCATGCGCCTCTTTGGCCGTGCCTCTGGACTGCATGGGAAAGGCGCCTGAAGTGCCTGTTTGGGAGCAAAGGCATGCGCCTCTTTGGCCGTGCCTCTGGACTGCATGGGAAAGGCGCCTGAAGTGCCTGTTTGGGAGCAAAGGCATGCGCCTCTTTGGCCGTGCCTCTGGACTGCATGGGAAAGGCGCCTGAAGTGCCTGTTTGGGAGCAAAGGCATGCGCCTCTTTGGCCGTGCCTCTGGACTGCATGGGAAAGGCGCCTGAAGTGCCTGTTTGGGAGCAAAGGCATGCGCCTCTTTGGCCGTGCCTCTGGACTGCATGGGAAAGGCGCCTGAAGTGCCTGTTTGGGAGCAAAGGCATGCGCCTCTTTGGCCGTGCCTCTGGACTGCATGGGAAAGGCGCCTGAAGTGCCTGTTTGGGAGCAAAGGCATGCGCCTCTTTGGCCGTGCCTCTGGACTGCATGGGAAAGGCGCCTGAAGTGCCTGTTTGGGAGCAAAGGCATGCGCCTCTTTGGCCGTGCCTCTGGACTGCATGGGAAAGGCGCCTGAAGTGCCTGTTTGGGAGCAAAGGCATGCGCCTCTTTGGCCGTGCCTCTGGACTGCATGGGAAAGGCGCCTGAAGTGCCTGTTTGGGAGCAAAGGCATGCGCCTCTTTGGCCGTGCCTCTGGACTGCATGGGAAAGGCGCCTGAAGTGCCTGTTTGGGAGCAAAGGCATGCGCCTCTTTGGCCGTGCCTCTGGACTGCATGGGAAAGGCGCCTGAAGTGCCTGTTTGGGAGCAAAGGCATGCGCCTCTTTGGCCGTGCCTCTGGACTGCATGGGAAAGGCGCCTGAAGTGCCTGTTTGGGAGCAAAGGCATGCGCCTCTTTGGCCGTGCCTCTGGACTGCATGGGAAAGGCGCCTGAAGTGCCTGTTTGGGAGCAAAGGCATGCGCCTCTTTGGCCGTGCCTCTGGACTGCATGGGAAAGGCGCCTGAAGTGCCTGTTTGGGAGCAAAGGCATGCGCCTCTTTGGCCGTGCCTCTGGACTGCATGGGAAAGGCGCCTGAAGTGCCTGTTTGGGAGCAAAGGCATGCGCCTCTTTGGCCGTGCCTCTGGACTGCATGGGAAAGGCGCCTGAAGTGCCTGTTTGGGAGCAAAGGCATGCGCCTCTTTGGCCGTGCCTCTGGACTGCATGGGAAAGGCGCCTGAAGTGCCTGTTTGGGAGCAAAGGCATGCGCCTCTTTGGCCGTGCCTCTGGACTGCATGGGAAAGGCGCCTGAAGTGCCTGTTTGGGAGCAAAGGCATGCGCCTCTTTGGCCGTGCCTCTGGACTGCATGGGAAAGGCGCCTGAAGTGCCTGTTTGGGAGCAAAGGCATGCGCCTCTTTGGCCGTGCCTCTGGACTGCATGGGAAAGGCGCCTGAAGTGCCTGTTTGGGAGCAAAGGCGTGCACCCCTTTAGCCTTACCTTTGGACTGCATGGGAAAGGCACCTGAAGTGCCTGTTTGGGAGCAAAGGCATGCGCCTCTTTGGCCTTGCCTCTGGACTGCATGGGAAAGGCACCTGAAGTGCCTGTTTGGGAGCAAAGACGTGCGCCCCTTTAGCCTTACCTGTGGACTGCATGGGAAAGGCACCTGAAGTGCCTGTTTGGGAGCAAAGGCATGTGCCTCTTTGGGCTTGCCTCTGGACTGCATGGGAAAGGCACCTGAAGTGCCTGTTTGGGAGCAAAGGCATAAGCCTCTTTGGCCTTGCCTCTGGACTGCATGTGAAAGGCACCTGAAGTGCCTGTTTGGGAGCATAGGTGTGCGCCTCTTTGGCCTTGCCTCTGGACTGCATGGGAAAGGCACCTGAAGTGCCTGTTTGGCAGCATAGGTGTGCGCCTCTTTGGCCTTGCCTCTGGACTGCATGGGAAAGGCACCTGAAGTGCCTGTTTGGGAGCAAAGACATGCGCCCCTTTAGCCTTACCTGTGGACTGAATGGGAAAGGCACCTGAAGTGCCTGTTTGGGAGCAAAGACGTGCGCCTCTTTAGCCTTACCTTTGGATTGCATGGGATGAGGGACCTGAAGTGCCTGTTTGGGAGCATAGGTGTGCGTCTCTTTTGCCTTGCCTCTGGAGGCACCAAAAGGCGACATTGCTTTTAGTCCTCTGTGCTTCTTGAGGCTGGGGAAACAGAATCATGTAGGAATCCTGGGCCCCAATCCCGTAAGGCTTCAATGGCACTCAGGCAAGGTTCTGCACAGGGGTTATTTTTGGAGGGGGGCATCCCAGGGGCCCCTCCTGGACCAGATGACCGCCCCGCCCTCACCCACGTTCCCTGTGGGCCCGAGGCTGTGCCAGTTCCCTGCTGGGCAGGCAGAGCTTGTGCGGACAACAGCTCCCAGAAATCTCCAGCCAGCACAAGCAGAGGGATTTGTAGCACAAGAGGGAATTTTCCGGAACTCTCCTGGTACATCCCACATTTGGTGAAAAATAAAAGGTATAAATACATTTTCTTGGTGCCGTTGAAGGAGGCTTGGTATGTGTGTGTGTAGAGAAGTGTGAGGTGTTCTCCAGAACACCTCTTCCCTTTCTGCACACATCGCAAAGCAACAGTTCTGTGGGCTGTCAACTCAGCCTCAGGTGGAAAGCCAGTCTTCTTCTGAGAAGGACGATAAAGCCACCCCAGCAAAAGGGCTCCTCAGATGTGCTGCTTTTTTTCAATTTAATCTTGCAAGGAGGCCTTTTAACTTCACAAGGCATGTTGGCCATCTCCCCCTCCCCCAGTCTGGCAGGGGTCTACCTCTCCCCCCCCCCGTGTGGGATGTTGCCAGCAAGTAATTTCCAGCATCTCCTGGGAACTCCTAAACCCATATGCATAACCTTCCTTTTCCTTCTCCCATCCCCTCCTTCACTTTGCTGGCAGAAGTGTCCCTTCTCCCCCTCCTGCAACCCTCCCCCTTCTTTGCTGGTAAAAATAAATGCACACAAAGCCCCTGTTTTTAATATGCATTAATTCAGCAAACAATGTAGAGCCACAGCAGGTGGGTGGCACTTCCTTCTCCTGAGGAGCAGGCAGATGCCCTTTTCAGGCATAATAATTGTATGGTTTGGAAAGGATGGAGAGCCAGAGCAGAAACAAGAGGCACAGCGTGGGGGCAGGAAAGTTGTGGCAGAATCTGCCCATCCTAGATTTGATTTTCCCCCTGGGTAGGAGTGTCCACGAGAAGAGTAATAAAAGAGCCACGACCAAGGTTTAGTAGATCAGGAAAGAAGAGCTCGCTGGGCTCTGCAGACAAAGCTCCCTGTGGTGCCCTGAAGACGGGTCACTGTCTTCTGCCCTCGGGGTTTTTAAGAGGCTCCTGGACAAAGGGCTTGGAGTGGATAGAGATGGTGGGTCTCTCAAAATGTGCTTGGTGAGTAGATCGGAATCTCAGTTTCGTTTTGTTTTTGAATCAGGTTTTTGGTCCTTGTTCCTGTGAAGGTACATTTTACGCAGGGTTAGCAATTCTCGGCCGGTAAAGTTGGTGGCGGCCGGGGAAGAGTGGGGCTTTCGTATCGCTGCTCCTGGCAAAATTAAATAAAGAACTGTACAAAAACAAAAGAATCATGCTGAGGAATAAAGAAGGTACATTTACTTGCCCCACTTTTCCAGAAGGAGACTTTGGAGTTCTTCATACAGGCCCAGCTGCCCCACTTGGCTTTTCTGCTTAAGATCTCAAGATGGCAGCCAACGGCGTGGCGGGATCTGGTTTAGAAAACCTTGAGCAGCGCGTCCATCAGATCAACCATGAGGTCAGTCGTGTGCCTTTGGACACCAGTACTGGGTGAGGCTGATGAGATTCGTGTCCACAATGTCTGAATGATGCCACCTGAGCCACTGCGAGTGGCTGACTGAGCCCTCCCAGAGGGACAGAGAGGATCTCCATCCAAATGGTTAGAAGTCCCTGACCGTCCGGAGGGTCTCCCCCTCTTTGGGGCTGGGGGCTGGGTTTTCTCTCCACCAAAATGCTCCGTTATAGATAGATTGCCGAACCAAATGGACTGAACCGGTCTGGGGGATGATCCAAAGATGGGAGAAGTTTCGGCTCTGGCAGAACCTCTCCATTTGGCAAGCTAGAGCCCTGCGGTTTTGACAGAAAGCCAGGGGGCCTCTGGGCACTGGGCAGCTGCTGCTCCGCTGAAGCTCGGCTGGGGTGGGGTGGCTGATGGGGAAGCCCCGGCTGCCCTCTGCCAATAATGCCTTCTGGTTCTTTCTCCCTCCCTCCCCAGTCTTTGGAGAGCACCCTGCGGATGCTGCAGTATATCGAGAAGGTAAGGAACCAGCCAGGGCAAAAGGTCTCTTCCGGCCTCTTCCACGCCCGGGTTGGTTGGCCACAGCCTGTCCAGGGGAGCGGGGACTCTCCTCCTCTGAAGGCTGGCCTGTGACGTATGCGAGGAGGTGGCCCATCTCGGCCGGCAGGCTCATCTCCCTCCTCCTTGGTGTCCCACTGCCTGTTCCTTGGCGACGGCACCGGGATGTCTGCTTTGGAATTCAGGCTCTTTCGGCAAGGGTGGATGTATGGCAGGAGGCTTCTACCTAAACACGGGGAGCAGGTCTTCAGGCTGTAATCCCGTCTGTCTTGGGTATGTTTCGCATGCAGTTTATTTTCTTGGCTCTTGTTTTCTAGAGCACATGCGTTTTGAGCTGGGCACTCACAAAACATGATTTATAGGGATTCCTTGATGAAGAATCCATTTGGGGAAAAAGTTGAGAATTTCCTCCAGGCTGGTCACCTGGCTCTTGTGTGTGATCTCTCTCAGACTCCCACAGATTGTTTAGAAATGGCTCAAATGCACTTTTGCCCTTTTCTGTTTTTTTTCCAACAGAGCAAAGATGCTGGAATTCAGACTTTGGTCATGCTGGACGATCAGGGAGGTAAGGCTCGAGGCTTGTGCCTGGTGTAGCAGCGCTCACGTAGACCTCCTTCCACGTTCGAAATCACCCCTGGCCCCGCCAACCATGCCCCTCACACCTGGGAGGAAAGTCTCCCTGTTTGCCTTGCCTCTGCTAAACCAAAGACAGGATTTTCAGGATTCTGGGAGTTGTATTAGGGGCTGGATCTGTGTGTGGGCTGGAAGGGGAGGCCAGAGAACATTTTCATATGCATGCATGCGTGTGTGTGCACGGGGGGGGGAGGTTACCATGTGCGAATGCTCCTGGTCCTTTCAAACAGGGGCCTCTGGTAAAGAGCAGCACATCTCAGGAAGACGGGGGCCCTTGCTCTTACAAGTGCCTCGAGAATCATCAAGTCCCACCAGCTGACGAAGCAGGAAAGCAGGGGTAGGGGGAAGGATGGGAGGTGAATTCTGGGGTGGGTGGGGGTGTGCACACATGCCCAGCAGAGGGATTCCTCCTACCGCCCCTCCCCTGTCCAGAAGTGGCCGGGAATGTCCAGGAAGGTGCCTGTTGGGTTCCCTCCAGAGGCAGAGGCCCACAGGCGGTGTCTCTTCCCTCTCTTCCTGCTCAGAGCAGCTGGACCGGATTGAGGATGGTTTGGACCAGATCATCCAAGACATGAAGGAGGCGGAGAAGAACCTCACGGACATGGGCCAGTGCTGTGGCCTTTTTGCCTGTCCTTGCGCCAAGTAAGTCTCTGTGGAAATGGAGGAAAGAAGCTCCTTTTCAGACCAGCTGCTGGAGCAGGTTCGAGGCCGTGGTTTGCCGCAGGGTCCTCTGGGAAGTTGATGGAAAGGGTGTGAAGGCAATAGGGACCACCTTTACTATAGCCTGGAAATTAAGATGTGCACTAGATACAGAGAGTACATTACTGCCTCCCCCAGCATCGCATCAGTTGTTCCAAGGTAGACTGCCTTGAAGGAAGGAGGCTTTTCAACAGTTCTCCTATATGATGAATAGTTGCTGACTTGGTTTTCCTTTGTGAATTTGACTTTCCCCATCAGGCCCCCAAATGGAGGGCTTTCACAGATCTTCCCTCCCCTCCAGACTCTCCTTTCCCAGCAAGATACAAGTAACTTCACCTGTTGAATTCCTATCTGCCCATGTGTTCTTTCTTGAAAATAGGTTAAAGAGCTCAAAAGCCCTCGAGGCCAGTAAGGCGGCAGCCGGCAGCACCGAGGAAAACGTGGTCTCTCGGCAGCCCTGCATGGTGGCTGACGGGAACCAAATGGTGATGAGTGGCCCATTCATTCCACGGTAAGGAAAGAGGAGTGTGTGTGTGTGTGTAAACATCTCTGACTTACAATGCCATCATTCCCAGCCTGAAGGGTGATGGGAACAAGCATCCTCAATACCCTCATCAATCCTTTCTTTCTCTCCCCGCCACTGAACAAAAAACTGTAAGCAAAATGAAAGTTGAACCTGAGAAACCTCTCTTTTGAAACAGAGTTGGAACTCAAGGGTTTATTGGAAATGTTTTTCTTGCAGCTCAGGAGCATAACTGTTATTTTTCAGGAAATTTATACTCTTGCTGTTTCTTTTTATTATTATTTGCAAGGGTATATATTTTACATAGCAGTTTCTCTCTTCCAAAAAGTGGTTCTGTGCTTCCTTGTCATTTCTGTAGAATTTTAAACAATTTGTAAAGGTCGCCTTTTAGCACATGAAAGAGAAATGACCCTGCCCATGTTTTCTGAATGAATTCCTCTTCTGAGCAAGTCCGATCGCCTAATCAGGCAGAGAGGCAACAGGGAGCTTTTGCTTCATCCAAGCATGTCTAACGGGGAGATGTGAGAGAACCAGCCGTGGCTGGCAGGGAGGAAGCAGAGGGCTGGACACCCACCTCTATGTGAGGCAGCTTTAGGCATTTTAGGGAGCCTTCCTCCCCTCCCTCCCTCCCTCCCTCATATCTGGATCAAAGCAAACTAGGGAGAATGGACAGGCAGCCCCCGGGGTGGGGGTGGGGAGGAGTCCCATCACTTTGGAGGGCATCAGGTTCACCTTGGCACCAGTCACCCCCTTCCCAGGTAGTTTTACCTGTGTTTTCATTCTTGCAGGAAAACAAATGATGTGGAGGAAGAGATTGAGCAGAATCTGATCCAGGTGGAGAGTATGCTGAGCAACCTGCGCAGTATGGCCATGGACGTGAGCAATGAAATTGACATCCAGAACAAGCAGGTGGAGAACATTCGGGAGAAGGTGAGAGCGGGGGATCCAGTGGTGGGCAGAGAAGGGAGAGGCGAGCAGAGAGGACAAGGGCGATCAAGCCTCCGGTCCAGATGGGCAAAGCCCTCCCTATTCTGGCCTTGCCTCTTTGACCTAAAAGAGACCAGCGGGCCTCCTCCCTCCTCCTTGGCTGTTCCCCAGCCTCCGCTTTTAACAGAAACAGAAAAGCAGCACCAAGAGGGGAGAACAGGGGACCGTCCGTTGAATCCTCTTGCCAAGTCCTGCCTGGCACTCTTGGGGCAGCTTGAACTACGACTCCCATCATTCCCAGCCAGCTGGTGGGGATGGGAGTTCTAGTCTGGCCCAGAGGGAGAGCTGTTTGGGCCTCAGCTGCCCACTTTTGGACAGGCGGCCAAGCCAGGCCTGGAGCTGAAACGGCTGTGCGGTCAGTCGGTCAGAGGGAGGGTGGCCAGCCTCTCCTGCTGAACCCTCCCCTCCCCCCTCCCACTTTTCCTTTCTTCCCCAGGCCATCGCTAATGTGGTTAGCATCAACGAAGCCAACAACCAGACCACCAAGATGCTGAAGAAGGCCTGAATCACCCTCTGGCTCCTCTTGCCCCCCCCTCCAAACACCCCACCACCACCCAGCTTCTTCCAGCCGATCTCCAGCATGGATTGAGTCCAACAGAGCCCATTTCCATCATGTTCTGCCTTTGGAAACCCATCCATTTCCAGAAGAAGCCCGTTTGCTTGCCGGTGGGTAAAATAGCAACGGAGGTGCATTGAGCTGCAGCCCAAAACAGATTAGCCCTGTTGAAGGCCTCTATCCCTCAATCCTGTGTGCAGGCCAGGATTCCGACACCCCCCCCACCCCCCCACCCCGTGCAAGAGGGTGTTGCCAGCTTGGTTTCTCCAGGCCTTCCTTCCTCCATCTGGAAGGACACACACACACACACATAGACACACAAACACCCCTTGATGCTTTGCAGCCCCCAGTTCCCAAAGACACCTCAGCCTGCATGAATGGCTGGCCAGCCAGGCTGACTAGAGGGACCCAGGCTCATTCCTCCCTGGAGAAGACTCAGTGAGGCCAATGGGGCTTTGATCCATTATCATGACTCCATGAAATCGCCTCATTGATTTCCCTGGCTCCATTTCTCAAACTGACTGAGTCTGGATCCAGACCATAAATTCTTAGGCAGGTCTGTTCTGCTATGAGTTTCTGCCACTCTGTCTTAGGGCTGCCCCCCTCCCCCAGTTGGCCTTGTGGGTCAAAAAAGCCTCCAAAGGGGAGGCAGAAATTGTGATTCTGTTTAATAAATGGGAAGCCTCCCGCCTCCCCTCCCTCTTGTCCTCCTCCCGACAGCTGCCACACCCTCTAGTGGGACTGAGGCCCAGAGCCTCGCTTTCTTCCAGGATCCGTCCCTCTCTCCCTGGCATCTTCTGTTAAAAGCATCAGGGGGCTGGCCATGGCAGCATTAGGGATGCTGAATGGGGGCTGGGGGGGAAGAGAACCTTCCCTGGCACAGATCCTGGGGAGACGGGGTGGGGTGGGGTGCTGGCCAGAGCAGGGGGTGATGATGAAAAGGCAGCCCGCCTGGCTGGCTTCAAGGCAAGTTGCCACCGTTTAGCTTTTGACCTGTCTGTTTTCACTCGTTGTGATTCTAAATGTTTATGGTGACCAAATGGGGTGTCTGTTTTCTTCAAAAAAAGATACACTTTTTAAAGTACATGTGAATCTTTTTGTTTGTTTGTTTAGAATGGTAAATGGTTCCTGTTCCTGTATGCTCCTGCTAGTTTGTGGTTGCTAAACAGTTCTAGGTTTAGCAGTTCTCCAGCCGCCGCCCCCCCCCCCAGGCTTGCACCCCTGGTTCTCTCTGCTGAGTCCTTAAAAGGGGGGAGCAGTAGAGATAGCTCAGCTGCAGGGCTGCCAAGGGAGCTGCTTCCTGGTCACCTGTCCCCAGGCTTGCACCCCTGGTTCTCTCTGCTGAGTCCTTAAAAGGGGGGAGCAGTAGAGATAGCTCAGCTGCAGGGCTGCCAAGGGAGCTGCTTCCGGTCCCCTGGCCCCCCCCCCCCGGCTCGCTGTTCTTGGCCTGCGAGGTTTGGAGCAGTTCAAACCAAAAGAGGAAACCCCGCCGGGCAGGCAAAAGAGAGGCGCCAGCTGGTTTTGGAACTCCGACAGCCAAGCAAGCACTTTGGAGCCAGGAGATGCTGCCCATCAGAGGCTGAGGTGCCCATCATTTGAACCCTGGGCCCGGCACGGCCCCGAGACAAACTGCCATGGCTGGGGAGTGTGAATCTGGATGTGTGGCTCCTTTGGATCTATCCAAGTACCGCTGACATAAAAGACTGGCCCACCGGATGCTCTGGGGCTTCCTCACAGAGCCCTCTCTGCTCCACTAGCATGACCGACCGAACCCCCTTGTGTGTCTTGAACACAGGACAGCCAGCGGGTGGAATTGCCACACCTTCGCATTTCAGTGTTTTCGGCGTCTCGGCTTTTGCTGTCTCCAAGGGAAATATGGGATATGTATGACATTCTGGTGTGCTTTGATTGTTTTTAATGTCAACATGCAACAACAGTGAACATTAAATCTTCTTGTCAATTATCACGTCTGGAAGTTTAAAAAAATTTAATGGATACAATGCAGTTCATTCCAATTAGAGTTTCTGCTACATGAAGAAATAATTTATCCAAGCAGGTCGTCCTTTTCCCCAGAACAACTCTTACTCTTGTTTCTATTTCTCCTCAGTAAGTAGGTTTCATTAATTCAGTTAAGGACACAATCTCAATTTCCCATCCAGGAATTACAAAACAGATCTGCTTTCCCGCTCTGAGCTGAACCACTGTCCGGACCACCAGGTCTTCTGGGAGGCCATGGCCGGCCTCCCTCCCTCCCTCCCAGGAGGCGTGGGGATGCTCTGCCTTCCCTTGGTCCCCCGATCCTTGCGGTGCCTTTTGCTCTCGAAGAGTCCGTGCCATTCAGAGCCCTTCGCTTGACAAAAAACCTGCCTCCGGCGGCGGGGAAGAGCGCGGGGGCCGCCTCGTCGCCCGCGCCCCTCCCCCGGGGGGGGCACCTCCAGGGCCGCCTCTGCACCACCGGACGCCGGTTGGGGCCCCCGAAGTGGGTCCCCCCCCCACCCTGACGGTTCCCTCCTGTTGCATCGCTGGGCAACGTCAGCCCCCCTGTGCTGGTGTGTGTGTGTGTGTGGGGGGAGGCTGCGTGTGCGTGGCTCCATTGCCTGCCGGGCGCCTTGAATCTATGGGTGGAAGGGGGGAGGGCTCGGGCCCCAGCCCTCCCCTCCCGCAGGGGCGCCTGCCCGATGCCCACCTGCACCTCCGCCCTCCCCTCCCCTCCCCCACACGGCAGGGCCCTCACACCGGAAGGGGGACCCGATTCACGAGCCCCCCCTCCAGGTGTTTCCTGCTCTCTGGCAGCAGCTGCTAAGCGGGAAGGCGCGCATCATCCTCCCCGCCTCTTTCTAGCCCCCCCGCCACCCCGCCTTCTTCGACGCTCGGGAAACAGAACTCCTCCCCTGAGTCAACGTGCGCCGGATCCGAGGGCGACGTGGCGGCTGCTGGAAGGCGCTTCAGACAAGCACCGAAAGCAGCTCCGGGCCCCCCGGCAAGTCGTCGCGCCGGTTTTCCCGGAGGGCCGGCGAGAAAATCCGCCCCCCCGCCTCCAGACTCGGCTGGGCGGGAAGACCGGGGACTCGTGCCGAGACGCGCCCGCTCCTCTCCTCAGGCTCCTCTCCACGCGCCCGCTCCTCTCCTCCTATTGGCTGGCAGGGAGGCTCCTGAGGCCTGATTGGCTCCTGCCGGCACGTGCCC